CTAAACTGATCCATGAACTTGTAAATAAAGCCTGTTATTCTATACTTCTAAATTTAAGTAGATCCATCAACCTCTCCAGGCCAAGTTTTCTTCCGTTACCCTCCTTCCATAATAAGTCAAATTAAGTACAGCACTTAATGAGCATTGTGGACATTAAGGACTTTAGAACAGTGCATTACGGTGTAGGTCGGGGGTTTTAGAAAACCACGCACAAACACTAATCAGATAAAAATTAGAAAACCAGAAAGCGAAGGAACAAACCATGGGCTTATCATAAAAGGGGAAACCTTTGCATTGCCTAAGCGCATTGGAAGCAGAGGATACATCCTCAAACACACCCAAGCCCTGACCTTTGTGCTTGAGAGTCTTGAAAGCTAACACCTCCAGTATCTTGCCGAACTGGGAGAAAACAGCGTGCAACGATTTCTTCAGCTCTACATTCAATTAAAAAAAATTAAAAAGAAACCGATACAGAGAATTTTCGGACAAAAAAATGGTGAAAATGAGAGGAATTGTAATTAATAGGGGTCGAAGGCAGGTACCGTCAAGCTTAATCTTCTCGTTAAGGTTGTTGATGTAGATGGTCATGTTGGGTGGTTGTTTCAGGGCCCGCACTGACTTCCGACATCCTTCAGTTCCGACCTCTCCTCTGGTGAAGGTTCGGATGCCCGACTCGCTTTCAAATCAGTCAGCGACTCCAAGGGACTTCAACGAGGACGATGTAGGGTTTATCACGGTGCCGGAAAAACCATCCGTCCGCGGAACACTGTCATTTTTTTAAAGATTCGGGCCTAAAAGAGGTTTTCGACCAATATCGGGCTTCTCATTTCGGCCCGTGTATAAGGGCCAGGATCGTGGCCTGTCGACTAGGTTGGGCTGGTCTGCAGTCATGTTTGCATAAAAGAGTGAATTCCTTTTTGCAAAAAAAACCAAAAGGTTAAAAAGCATGTTTACCCTTTTTTTTTGGTCCAAAAAAGCATGTTTACCCTTAAATTGTGCTCCCGTGAGCATTGGAGTCGCCCTCAAACTTTGAACAAGACTGTAATAGGCCTTTGCCATTAAAAGAGCAAACATCTGTTAACTGTGTGGTGGGGAGCATATATTTGTTTTTTATCTGTGATTGTTTTGAACAATAGTTGCTTGGTTTAAAAGCAAGAGCCAACTATAATGTTTTACAAGTTTAAGAATATTATTACATCATTCAATAGCTTAAGAACAAAAAATATCTTCAAAGAAAATAAAAATTCCCGGCAATACCAATAAGGACCATTTGTTTAATTAAGAATAGCTTTCCATGTTGGTCGTAGAGTGCTTGAGATAAGGGAAAAAAATAAATTTTTATCGCTACATAATTTTAACCTTATTATGTCTTGGTTCTTAAGCGTTAACTCGATGCTGAATCAAAACTGCAGGAATTAAAATAATATTTTTTCTCATAATAAAATATCTAGTAGTAAAATTTTTTAGATCAATCCTTGCCAAGAGCCTGCATCCGAATGAGGTGGTGGGGAGTGTGCGTGTGCGTGTAGCATTTTAATTTGCCAATAAAAAAGATGCTTCCACTGAATCGCTGTTGACAGCCGTTTTTCAAAAAAGAAAATATCCGGGTTTGTGGTTGTGGGGACAGATGAGTGATGGATTGGATTAAGAATAATTTAAGACGCGTAATTAATGTAATCAATTACCAGTCACGAAGCTTGGCGGAAGGCGAATAAAGACAAAGCTGAGAATTAGGAACTAGAAATGAAATATTTAATCAGAGCGGCGAAGCCACGCGCGCAGTCATCATGCATGAAGACGAGGATGCAGCAAATTGGGTCTTGTCGCGGCTGGCCCCCCAGAACGCTTCCCATCCGCATATATATGATCGATCATGTAATACGAGTCATGTGTCTAGAACAATCATCCATGTCGACGGAGGGGAAAATATCAGGCGCAAGGAAAGTGTCGTTTTAATGGCAAAACACTTGACGTGGCGACGAAGTGACAGCATTATAAAATTACAAGTTTACTTTTAATTTATTTAAAAATTAATAAAAAATGGCCACGCAGTGCTCTTCGGTATCAACTAAAAAGTAAGAGGGTAACTTATCTATGATACGAAGTGCGTGCTAGAATCGTATTTAAATCATTTAGTCACCTCTTCTAAAGAAGAGAGATTCATGCAAACACGCGGTTAGAGTGGAAATTGACTGTGGCCTGTGTTAATTAGTATGTACTGGTATGATGTTAGATGGCCGAAATTTACTTGCTCGCATGTACTCTCCAAGAGCCTAAGCACCAAGTTCACCAAGACTACAGTGGACGATGTATTAAGAGCTTGTTGGGATCATGATCCATAAGGTTGAAGCACATCTATGTAAACTGAGACGAAATTTTTCTCATATATTTATTTCATATTTGATAAATGAAAATTAAAATACTACTTATAAACTATTTTAAACAGGAAGTCCAACTCATCCTTAGTTCACACTCTGGACATGCTTGATATGAAATTTGCGCCATAGTCGTAGTAATTATTTAGTCGCTGACTTTTAAGAGTATAATGTTTAGTATTCTGAGTGCGTGATCAGTTTTTTCTATCTTAATGATCTCGCAACCTCATGGATAGATCATCATGCTCCGAGTGAACACTCCTCCTCTTTATTAGTCAGTCAATGATAAATTCGAGATCAATTGAGAGGAGGCGTGTGAGTTTTAAATAAAAAGGACTCACTCAAACAGAAAAGAATTTAAAGGAAAAATTCTTGTTTAAAATTTTAATTGACCAAAAAGATATGAATTGTGCAAGTACAAGTATGATCTGTGAGTACAATATATCATTCGCTGTGTGCAATTCAAACAGGGATTTTTTACTAATTTTCCCGAATTTAAATGTGCTTGGATAAATCACAGATTCACAATCAAGAGGGACCGACTTTCCTCATTTTTTTTTTTATAAAAAAAATCATGTTTGGCTCTGAACTCTCACGAGCCCGGGCTTTATGATTGATGAAGCCGCAAATAAAATAGTATTTATACTGATAATATAACCGTGATTCTATAAAGCAATTAAAGTTGGATTATATTGCCGTAGAGATGAGGTTGCGCACCAAATGCGCCTCTTAGGAAGTTCTAAAAGCTAGGCGTCCCATCCAGAGTGGGGGTAAATAACCGGGGATGCCATTCCATGGGCAAGTTGGGAAAAGCACATACAAGAAGTCAAATAAACCGAACGGAAAATTCAAATAATCATAATCACGATATATGGCGAAACAGAATTGAGCAAACAAAGGCCAAATTCAACGCATTCCCCACATCACTTTCTAGGTTCCACACAGCATTGACGGCATACGGGCCACTCACTCTGACTGAGTCATACATTAGTCTCCATTGCGTTCCGCCGCCAACCCTCCCCCAGGCCGACCTTATACCAATAATTTAAGTTAAACGAAAAGAAAAAGAAAAAGAAAAATATGGATATTTCTGCCCTCCAGCCAAATTATTTTAGGTTAAAATTATATGCATACCGTACACGTGTTCCAATACATAAAAAGATGGTAAAGGGAAAGACGTGATGAACGATACTTGGGTTACATTATAAGGAATTGCCGCCCCAAACGGGTCTCAGCGGCGAGCAAGGGACAGGTGGCATAATGGGAGAGGTTCTTTATATGCTTTATTTTGACGGGTCTTCCGTCCTCCCTTCAATTATGGAAACCTATTTTTGATTTCCCACTTCCGCGTTCCTTCCCGCACGCGCCTCATAATTCTCCTATTTTTCCTCGTGAAAGAAAAAGAAAATCCGACGATTAATAACGTCCCCACCCCTGCCCTTGCTTCGCCTATATATAATGCCCCCCGAGTTCCATTATAGAACCCAAGGAATAAGTGTTGGGAAAGAGAGGCGCCGATCAGAAAGAAAGGTTCCTCTCGCCGCTGTGGAAAGCTTCTTCTCCTTGTATTCATCACCCTAACCTATCAAAAGCAGCTTTCCGCAGCTTCCCCACACAAGTTCCACCATTCACCATGGCTCGCTCTTTCTCCAACCTCAACGGTCTCTCTGTTCTCCTCGTCAACGCCATCTCCAGGTACTCCATCGTCACTTTTCTTCCTTCATAATGACCGGCTTATTCGATCAATGAATTGCTTGTTAGATTATTTTGATTAAAGCTTATGAATGGGGGTTTGACTGTAACTTTTGGCTTTGTTGGTCATAAGCAGGCGTGGATTCGCGTCGTCATCGCAGGGATTCGCCACAACCACCGCAAGGGCCGGAGCTGCCTCCATGAGCGGTAAAGTGGCCAAGAAATCCGTGGAAGAGCGAGTGACCGCCGAAAAGGAGTCGTGGGTGCCGGACCCCGTCACTGGTTACTACAGACCGGAGAATACCAAGGAGATCGACGTCGCCGAGCTGCGCGCCACGCTTCTGGGCAAGAAATGAATTTGAACCAGTTAAATGAAACTCCGGGGTCCAGATCGATGGATTGACCATGTCGTCTCGTGTATCTGGCCTGGAATAGAACGAAATGCACTTCTTAAACGGCGTCGCTCCGAGCTGGCTTTGGTGGCTATATGGCTACACAAATCCTTCGGGGATGTAGATCTGGAATTTCTTATGGATCGTGCGGTGAGTTCCTCTGTTCTCAATCCTAAGAAACAGAGGACGAAGCCATATCGTTCAATTGTAGTGTCCTTATCTTTTTCCCCCTCGGATTTTATTCCAATGTAATTTTCGTTTTAGAAATAAATAGAGGAGTTTTCATAATACATAACGCGACAAGCAAAGTGTGTCCTGGTCCCATGAGTATATCCGACTAAAAACGAAACCCCGACTTGTGGCCGCCAATGTTCTAGAACATCAAATATAAACTGGCCTCTATAAAAAAAAAAAAAAAAAAAAAAAAAACAGACTGTGGGTGAACCGTGATAAGTGCTTGACGAGGGAAAAAAATCAAATAGAAGAAGACATTTATATTGAGCCATCGACATATTTTTGAGGAATTATACTATACGGGTCGCTCGTAATTCCTACGGCCAATGTTTTGTGTTGCGCGGTGGAAAATATTCAAGACATTTTATGAGGCAGAGGAACGCTGAAGATTAAAGATGTGTATAATTCACGGACCTGGCAGCGTGCGCACTACAACCGGCCTTCGATCAAATCTACTGGAATCGTCTTAAGAGTGGGGACCGTTCTGCCAGCTGACAAGTGTCAATGCCTCTGCCACTTGTGCTTAATTCTTCCGGCTCCCGTAGTTATTTTATTATTTTGAATCATTATCTCAATATGTTGCTGTGCATCCTGAACTTGGGCGGGAAATATCAAGTTGCGTATGTGTTGGAGCACCGCTCCCCAATCAGGCAATCAATCAACACGGTGGCAATTTTGCGGGAAAAAAATAGTGCTGTCTGGTGAGTAAACGACGGTCCTGATCATTTTGTTGATACAATAATTGTTTTGATCAGAAGAAGGGTTACGTATTCGGCGAGAAATGAATAAAATTATCAACTTAATATGTGCAGAATAGATAAACTGGGGCAGATATACTTACGAGCACAATCTGCAGCTGATTGAGAATCTGTTAGGTCCTGTGCCTGCTGGACAAAAAATAAAGAGGCGTTTGGTTTTATAATAGGCACGGTTCATGTTGGCCTTGATCATGGTTGCCTTCACCATCAAACTACAATATGCGCCACATCCTTGCCTTCATCATTCACGAATAATTCACTTTTATATTAATTTAAAATTGTGTAAATCAACTCGTTTGGTCCCTTGTACGTGCGTGGAGGGCAGTACTTGAGAAAAGCGACCGAAAGTTTCTGACGCAAGGAGGTGATACAATGAACGAGTCAGTGCCAGGAAAAGCGCCAGTTAGAAGAATTAAAACACGTAACGCTGAAGTCAATTGCCTGGAAGAGCAGCACCCAAGTTGACGGGAAATGCTCCCTGGGCTTGCTTCCATATCACAGGTAAAAATTTAGAACATTAATTAAATCGAAATAATAATTTACCCCAAAATTAAAAAAAAAAAAGAAACAATAATAGTGAAAAGACAGTATTCAGATCGGCTATTCAATTCGCTCAGTATATTGTAAGATGAAATCAACCAATAAAAAATTGCTCTGTATGACGCTGCTGGATACCATCTTATTATATATATGTGTTCGTGATACTGATTTAAATGGTTTCTCAGGAGGATTGCTCGATGAATAGCCAAAGCTTATCATGAATTTACGAAGGACGTGTTCGAAAGCTTGAATAGAGGCATGCTGTGTACGAAATTCATGTTTCAAAACAGCTTGAGTGATCGTTGAGTGGGGTTTTATCTTCGTCCGCATGCACAGTGCTCAAAGCATGCGTTGAAGAAACTGAGGGGGAAGATAATGTAATTTGTTAAATGACTCTATGCCATGGACGCTGGCGCGTAATATGAGTTGAAACCAGATGCGCTGATACTAATTAACAAGTTTATCATAAATGTAATATTCAATCAAGAGTCACTAATAATTCAACGACAACAATTATTTTGGGGAACAAGACACCCAAGGCCGCCCAAGGTCGCTACAGAGTGCAGGGACTTAGAATTTAATATATAACGGATAAGAACAGGGGATTGTATTAGAAAAAATAACGAGTGAGAATTCTATTTGATTTTCCTAAAAGCATGCACGTGGATAAAGCTGCAGATGTCGGTAGAATGCCCTTTCCATGTATTAAACAACTGTATTTCAGGGGGCAAAAGTTTATCTTCTGAAAAATTTATACATTAATAAGGAGAATCGGAGAAAATATGAGGCTCACAATTAAAAAAAAAAAAAAACGTATGTGGTATAAAATCTAGTTAACTTCATGACGAAATCAAGGTTTCGTGGTCAGGATTCACGGGTTTGCATGTCAGAATATATATTTCTTTCTTTATATATTATTATAAATATTTAAATTTTAATTATATGAAAAGAGAGTCTTTCATTAGATTCTGATTAGTCCGTATAACGTGATCTCTAGATTGACAATTAACGAAAGTAAAAAGATACTTCCTCCCTCATTATTTAATATTTACTTATCTTGGTTTAAATTTCTATTTTGTCTTCAGGCATATGTCCAGTTTCAAGTTTTATTGTATAATTATATTATTAGATGGAATGGAGACGGTTAAGATTTAAAATAATATTGTATTGCTGTATTATATTAAATAGACGGTAAAACTGTGAAAAAAAAGAAGGAAGGAAGTAATTAATAATCAGGCGAAATGATTATCATTTTGTATTCCGAATTTTCGATTGGCCCCGGTGCCGCCATGCGTGGCGAAAGCATTTGGCAGTCCACCCCCAACCGTTTTGTTTTTTTGTCTCTTTTTTTTTAATTATTTTTTTTTAAAGAATAGATTTGCGTGGCTTTCAATTTTTCTTGACGAAGTATGAACGGTCGACTAGAAACGACGCCCTCCGTAGAACGTTTTCATACACCCATCACGGGTTGGTAAGAAAAAAGTGGTGAATTATGAAAAAGACACTTAGTGCAATACTCCCCACCCCCCTACCCCAAAACTTCTTCTCCTATTTAATATTTTATAAATCAACATTCCAATATTAAATTTTAATAAATAAATAAACCTATTAAAATTATAATCGCTAGTTCAGAAATGCACTATGGGGTGTGTGACAAAAAAAATCAACTCTGCAACATAATAAATATGAACTCTCCGGATTTCACCCAACAGCAAATATGATAAATGGAGAAGAAGTAAGGAGAATTCATATATATTCTTATGCAAAAATAAACCTTATGCATAGATCTCCGGAAGAATTGGGCGATTTGCATGTTCTCGACTCGTGCACGGTGACAAAGAGAAGGAAAATACACGAGAAGAAGTCTGGTAGGGTGGGAAAAGTAAGAAGTGGAAATTTCAGGGTAGGCGGCTATGATCACTCCTTCATTTCAAGACAAATGAAATTAGAATTAAAGCTGGCGTCCGTAATTAGGCCAACGACCATCCTGTTGGTCTGATCTGAAATGGGAATCCAATAAAGAGATGAATCTCCAGCCTGAACTGCGAGGAAAGGAACCAAGACAAGACATTTGAATGGCCTTCCAGGTAGATGCATATCTTTCACACGGCATCTGGATGTTACTTTTTCCACATCTGCAGGGCCATTTCAATACTCATTCTGGTCACATATAGATTAGATCCATCATTCCTGGTTATAGTCAGTAAACCAACCTATCATGCTTTTACCGACGTGCCCTGGACAAATGACTACGTCACCTCATTTACCAATCACCATAGCGTTGGGGGGGGGGGATAAAAGAAATTTCCAAACCGTGATAAAAGACTTGGAGCCCATTTGAAATAGTTTATAAGCAGTTGTTTAATTGCGATTTACAAAATACGAGACAGATATGTAAAAAAAAATTATCTTAACTTGATGAAATATATCTATAAGTGCTTACAAATATGATTCCAAACAGAATGCTACAAAAGTTTTTAGGCCGAAATGGAGGGGATGCGATAAAGTTGTTAAATTGGCAGGCCTTTATGCACTCCAAGTGCTTTCAAAGCCCAAGCCCAAACAGGATCGATGCTAGCCCCTCAAATCAATCTGGAATCTGGATAGAGAACCAAGTTATCCGTAATCTTTTTATATATTTTTGCCCCCCTTAAAACGATCAAATTCACGTTCCCGAGCATTATTTGGGGACAAATTTCATGTTCAAATTACAACACGTAAAGTATAATTTGCTCAAGCCCGCCAGATCACCATGCTCCGCTCACGTGATTACAAAGCTCGTAGCTTACTTACAAAGTGTTTACGCTTCAAGTTAAAACAACAGCCGTCCACAAGCAGCCGAAGGGTAGCTCTTAAGTCAGCTTGTGCCTCATTGTGAAGCTTCCTCGAGACTATTACGTACTCACGAAAGATTTGGCTTTTTTTCAACAACACATACAGATTCTTGCGACTGTGGAGAGAAGCGCCGGCACACTTGAGAAAAGTTCATTCAGATTGGCAAAATAGCACATCTTCTCTTCAACTAGTGTTTGCTACTCTGCATGTTCTTCTGGGGCAATTCCAATCACTTTTTTTTTTTTGGTGCAAAAGATGTGAGGCTCATCGTTTGTCTTTTTTTCAAGGCATGGGCTTATCCTTTTTCTTTTTTGGTTAATAACCAACAAATCAACAACAAAAATATATATATTTAGCATAGAATTTGTGGCAAATCTAAGCAAGTCATAAACAACAAGTAAATCAGGGGGAAGAAAGAAGTTAAGAAGAACAGAGATGCCAAGCGTTATGGTGTGTGCAGCTGACATTGGCACTGTGTTATAAATGTTGCTTAAGTCCAAGAACTTTGTTTTCTCGCACAAGATTGTTAGGGGTGCTGGAGGAAGCTACTGATCACATCGAAAGCTAGGAATTCAATTGAAAATTAAACAAACACGGTCACAATAAAAGGACTGAGCATCCTCATTGTTTTTTTGTCATTGGAAAGGTTGATACATCATTGAATTGTCATTGCTGACTAACCTCGGAATTTCTTCTGGTTCGTTTTCTTCCACTCAAACTTTCTTACATACACCCGTCCAACCATGCATCTATGCTAATCTTCTTCAAAGGAACCATTTGACGTTTAGCATTCACAGATGATGATGAATGATAAACATGCTACAAGCGCCTTCTTTAAACTCATTCAAAGTAAATTTACACAACGAGCGTCCTATCTCCACAGACACAATCACTGCATCTGGGCCTTTATCTCTCACACCTCTGTTATCCAACAATCCCTCTCACAAGGGTGTTGTCTTGCAGTTTAAAATATTAAATTCATTAAAATTATTGTCTTGTATCACAGCATTATCTTCTATAATATGAAAATTTGAGACAAGACATGATTGCATAGGACCACTCTTGTAATTTTTAATATATTGTGACATATCAATACATTGATTATCAACAACTTATAATGATTGCATGGACGGTAGCAAGCATCGCCTCTATTCCTTGTCTGCATCTTGACCCGTCCGTGAACTCCTAGAAACGAGAAAGCAATGATACTTATCATCTCTGCTTGATAATGTTACTAATAAACATTAGTATTAAATGTCTAGGGACTTAGAGATGTGAAGGAAAATAGGTCAAGACAGGTCAGGTAAAGGGTAGTATGGCTCTGCTATCTTGCGCCTAGAAACAAAGACAACAGTAAGATTTTTTTAGCAAATGTTTTTTTTTTTAATTAATGAGTTAGATTCTCTTGGATATTGAAGCTTACAATAGGGTGTTGCATGTAAGTCTAAATATCAAAAGCCAACTATGAAGTTACAGTTTAGTTGATTTGTTTCCCTACCTTCACAAAACAAGACTTCCTAATGTTTCTGTCCAGGTGTTTCGCTGCCTCTCTTTTGACTGAAAAATGGAACCAGACACTGATCACTCAAAGGATATCCATTGTGAGCCAAGAATGGGTGCCTCTGGTGGCTATTTTCTCTTATTAATGGTGATCATCCTCATGACTGCCTTTAACAAGCCTACTCCTCCTTATGTCGGTGCCCGCATTGTCGTGATGGTGGCGCCCGACGTCTCTTCCCTCGCTTTCCCACAACCACCTCTCCCACCGCCTGTCTAGATCCTTCTATTTTCAAGTAGCTTCTCGCCTTCACACACTCTTCTGCCATTCACCCTCTATTAAATGATGACTGTGTCATCTGCTTATCGGAGTTGGAAGAAGGCAATGAAGGCCGCATCCTCCTAAATTGTAGCCACACTTTCCACTCTTATTGTATTGATGCGTGGCTTCGCTCTCCCTCCATCTACTCAATATGTCAATCTGTCGTTAAGCCATCAAAAATTTTGAAGCAGACCTCAGTTTGGCTAGAATAATTTGTGCATTGCTCGGATCTTCCTCCGGCGATTAGGTGCCCCAGACAGCCATTAGAGGTGATGCAGAAGCCAGGCATAATCATAGAGCCAAGAAATGGCGAGAGCAATTTGAGGTGGACAAGGCCATCAGAGTCGGATTTACTCCGTTCAAATATTCAAATCCATTGACAAATAGTTTTAATAAATCGCAGCAAGTGCATGTTCCCCATAACGTAATTTTGGTTTTAGTAGGGTCTAATGAAAAACAAGCTCGTCCTAAAAGTATGTACAATTGTTTTATTGCATGTCACAAGATCATGTCATTTTCATACTACAAGAGGAGTGGGATTGTGGCTGTGCTGGAAGCAAAATGAAAGAAGACATGAAGACGGTGGCGAGGATGAAGTTGAAAGGAGCGAGGAAAAACTGGTGCTTAAGATTTAACGCCTATCCACCAATAAGCCAGACCTTGTGAATATAGGATTTCTTGTGCCAGAGATTGAACCACGACTATGATTGAGCTGAGTAGATTAATCACCAGCGGTAGTAATCGACAAGCTGAGGGGATTGAGTAGTGCTGATTGGGTCGTCACTCAGATTGGCTTTGATTTCTCTGTTGAGTTTGTTTTCAAATTGCATTGGACAAGTTCTGAGTAGACCACTCAATTATTTTTGAAAGAAGATAAAAGTACAAGGACTAAGGGTGTGTTTGGCAAGCACCCCAAACTATGGTTTTGGGACCCAAACCATGGTTTGGGAAAAATGTTAGCCAAACACCCTTAAAAAAATCAAAACCATGGTTTTGAGAAAAGCAGAAATTTTTTACTTTTAGAAGAAAAAGGGGAGAGTGTGAGAGCCTATAGGATATGTATCTTGTTGTTTTTTTTATAAACATATTTTTTATAAATATATTTAATCTTATATCTTATAAATATATATACATATTAATTATTTATTAATTATATTATCTTATATATTATTAATATATGTTAATAAAAAAATATATTATTAACAATTTTATTCCTTCAAATTAAAATATATCATAAAATATTTTTTTTTTCTATAATTATCATATTAATTTATACCAATTTGTATATATAAAAAGTACTTCTAATAACAACTATCTAAATACTCACATTTCTCAAAATCATTTTTTCACAAAATCTATTCTTCCCAAAATCTATTTTTTTCAGAAGCTATTCTCCAGAAGCTATTCTCCAAACCACGGTTTGGTTTCATCCAAACACACCCTTAGGAATGGGCTAAAAGCATGAGTACTGGGTTATAAACTAGATGAAATTATAAGAATTAAATAACTTAGATAAAAAAAATTAAATACTGTTCGTTATAGATTTTAAACATTATATTGATATTTTATAATTAAGAAATGTTTTTTTTTCAACGTTCTTTCTTTTATTTCCGTTTCCCAAAATGAAACGGAGCGTTTCACTGAGTCCCCGGGCGGTCTGACGATTATGGTCGTCGGATCAAACGGACGGACTAGAAACGGTGCAGGATAAAAACCCCTGCGACGGAACTGGATTTGTTTCCAGTTCTCACTTCTCACAATAAAAACCCTAGGTTCACATTCTTGCTTCGTCCCGGAGCAGCCGCGGAGCGCAGCAGAGACTGAGCCAGTACATTCGCCATGGTTAGTTCGCCTCCGAACCCTTATCCTTCTTGTTTCCCTTTTCTTTTCTCATTTTCGTCAATTGCAGGGAATCGATTTGAAAGCAGGAGGTAAGAGCAAAAAGACAAAGCGAACCGCTCCCAAATCTGATGATATTTACTTGAAGCTCCTTGTTAAGGTTCCTTCTCTCTCTCTCAATATCACTCTTCCTTCCTTTTCTGCTTTAACTGCTCTGCCATTGGTAGTTGACACGACTTTTTACCCTTTCAGCTTTACCGGTTTCTTGTTAGGAGGACCGGGAGTAAGTTCAATGCGGTGATTCTAAAGCGGCTTTTCATGAGCAAAGTCAACAAGCCACCTCTATCTCTATCTCGGTTGATTCGTTTCACGAAGGGAAAGGTGCTTATCGCTTAGGTTTGGAGCTTCGTGTGGTTTGGTTCAGTGACAACCTTGATTTAGCATCGTCAAATGGTTACACCGGCTGACAATACAAAATAGTTGATACTTGCAGTATTTGTTACCCAAGACATTGCTTTTTGGGAACATTGTAATTATGTGCAGTTACTGATAAAAAGGCGTCTTTCTTATTCATTTCAATCTGGTCCATGCATCAGGAAGACAAGATCGCCGTAGTGGTTGGGGCTGTGACTGACGACATTCGTGTGTATGAAGTCCCAGCGTTGAAGGTGACTGCTCTGAGGTTCACCGAAACTGCTAGAGCTAGAATTGAGAAGGCTGGCGGAGAGTGCCTGACATTTGATCAGTTGGCTCTTAGAGCTCCTCTAGGCCAGAACACGGTATGAATTTTTTCACTACTCATATCTTGGCATTATTATGACGGATTGTAAATATGATTTTTGGTCTGGATGTATTGGATTAAAGCCACAACGGAATTGGTTGTTGTTGCGATGTTGAATTTCTTCATATCCCATTGCCCTTTTCTGAATGAGAATGTTTAGGAACGGTGTTTTGAGAAGAAATGTTAATTTAACGACCGCAATTTAATGGAAGGATCCGTGGGATTGAGAACCTAGCACGTCACTTGTTTTCGCATTTGTGGTCTTCGGCACTTGATGGAGCGTGCTTGTTGATTACTTAGCTGTTGTAATGAGTTATTGTTTTTGTTGTTAAGATATGTTATAAATCTTGGTTCATATTACTAACCGGACGATTGTTGAGCTGCGAGTCGTTGAATCATAAGATTCATGAACACATTATAAATTCATAACTATTCATAGTTAGAATTCTAAAATATAAATTTCATAAATTCTCTGTGATATCTAATTACATACTCAAGGGAATGCTCGATTTCGGAAGTCACCTTAAGTATTCAGAGGTACAGATGGGACTTTAAACTTGAAGGGATGGGGAAGTTACGAGAAACCAATTTTAGGAATGTTTCCATGGAAGATCACTCTATTTAAAGTAAGAGGTGGAGTTGAACATGTTATTTCTGTGGGTAACTTAAGAGTTATTATGGAATACAGGGGAGTCAAAGTCTAAAGCCGCCCTTGATCTGTTAGATTGTCATAGGGACTTCGAGTGAGAGGTTACCATAAAACTGTTTCTGGTGACTAAAGTAAGAACTACATCAGGAAGAGAAGAAAATAATATAGCAACGAAGTACGAGTATGATATCAAGTTAAAATAGTTGGCTTCCAGGATAAAGTTATATGAAGTCATATAAGCTTCAAGCTGACGGCCAAAAAATGGGAATGTATGAGCAAACATTTTAAGCAATTATGATCTGCAGAGATTATCCTCCTCTTATTACTATCACTTCTACTACTGTTATTATGCAACCACTTCTAGAGTCCATTTAAAATGTCTGTTTGTAGTTAAATTTTAATAGCATGCTTTACATTATAAATTGGTTGTTTTGGTTGGATGAAGAATTACTGGTCACTCGATGTCTATTAACACCCGTAAAATATGAGCTGATCATGTTCTGGAAGTACATATATTTTGTCCATAGTGGAGAAGGCTGACCTTATTGCTTGGGTCGACGGCAAAAATCCTTCTTATTCGTTTGTTGGAGTTATAATACGTAAAGGAAAATGTGAGAAGCACTTAACTTTATATCCTGTCCTGCACTCATAAGAATCCTGTTGAATTACTGAATTTGTATTTATATTTGTAGTTTATACTATAAATTGTGATTATTTCATAGCACTTGTTTGTTCTTGGAAGCGAGGAAATTATTAACTTGATGCTAAATCGTGCTATTTTCTCTGCAATGATGTCAGGTTCTCCTCAGAGGTCCCAAGAATGCCCGTGAAGCTGTCAAGCACTTTGGGCCAGCTCCAGGTGTGCCCCATAGCCGCACGAAACCCTATGTCCGTTCAAAAGGAAGGAAATTTGAGCGGGCCAGAGGAAGAAGAAACAGCAAGGGTTTCAGAGTTTAAGTCCCGGAATTCAAGCATGAAGGAGGTTCACGTTTATCTTGCGGTTATTTTGTAAATCGTTTCCTCTGCGACGTTCCAACTCTTTGCTCGTCTCAGTTTTAATTTTTCGCTGAGAGCGGAGGAAGGCAATCTGGACAATTTTGTTTTGAGGAACTTATTTACTAGTGAATGATGAACCTTTAGAAGGATTGTTCTGGAGTGTTTCTCTTCCCCGATTTGTCGGATACTGATTTGATTTATTTGCTTGGATATCTTCTTAATATAAGAACTAGTTTGACTTTTAATTTAGTTCTAAATATAAGATTTTAATTCATTGTTTTTTATATTTATTTTTTTTAAACGAGTCTTTATATTAGTCGAATGTGCTAAATGCTCAACAAATAATAGTTTTAGTCAATATATTTAGTTTGGTTAGCAAGGATATTATGAAGAAGTTCTAACCTCATGCGTAGGTACTTAATTGGAGAGAGGGATATGCGCTAACCTATTTTGTGTTGGGAAACTCTACCAAAATGTATGTGTTAAGGATAGAGTGATATCACCGGTACGGATAACTGATTATCTATTTATTATAATTAATTAATTAAACTAATTTTTTTAAATATTTTTAAATTAATTAATTGAGTTTTATATTAAGGATTGAAAGTAGTATAATTTTCTCTCCTGAGCCTAACACACTCTTTTAGTTGACGAGGTAGATGAATGAAGTCACGCGCTACTGGCTGTGTCAAAGGCAGTTGGTGCCTGAGAGATGGAAGCAGTCGCTGCCGCAAGCATACATGGGCACAGCCGCACGGAGGCAAGAAAATGATCGCCCCTCCCGACCTATTCGCTACTCACCCTCATTTTCTTTCAACAAGCCTGCTTTAGCTTTATTACCTTACACTCCTTCATGGCGTACTATTTTTTGAAGTTCTAATGAATCGATTTCTTGTGATGAACTCCGAAAGTCAAGTGTTTCAATTGAGGGCGCAAGGTTTTATTAAAATAATAATGAATTGTGTCAACCCCTTTTTTTGGCGATGGAATGAGGTTCAATTAAAAATATATTTCATTGCGGAGCGATTAAAATTCGTGCACAAAATTTTTAAAAACTTAAAAAAATTATAATAAAAATACGTTATAGTTATTTATAATAAATAATTATATAATTCAATTACAGTACTTATCTATTCTGTTTTATGACTTTTATCTATAATGTGTTAATCGTTTGAAATGGCCAAATGGATATTGCTAAGATGTAAGAGTCTCACGTGATGAATCCCTCTTGCGATTGCAATTGGACAAAAATTAAATTAGTCGCAGCATTTCAATTTATTTTCGAATTTCGATGAACAATATATTTCTTCCTTAATGCGTAATTTAACTTCTAATTGAAAAGCTACATAATAGGATGGCAAACTGAAGGGGGGAAAAAACAAAAGAAAAGCTACATAACAGATTTCCATATCCACAGGTTAGACGTAATTTTTTCCTAAAACGCTCACCAATGTACTAATATATAAATATATAATTAAAAAAAATTCCAAACAAGTAATCGGCCTAAACCGGGCAATAAATTTTGAACCCCAGGACATGCATTGAGAAGGTATACAAAGGATGTATAATAATGCTTTTTATTTAAAACGAGTACACATTTTTTAAAAAAATATACACTGATCACATATCTGTTGAGATTTAATTGATTTAAAAATTGAAATTATCCCGGTGCTACCAAAAATAATTGGGGAAAGAAAAAAAAGGAACCTTCGACTAAGCTTCCCTCCACCCACACATCATATATAATTCATAATAAATAACTGAAACAACTCTCTCCCGCAACAGTCTCTCGCACTGCGGTCATGGATGTGGAGACGGACAGTCACGATACCAAGTACGCCCATAACGGTGAGGTCCTGCTTGTCTCTGCCACTCTTCTCTTCATGATGTTCATCCTTCTCGTCTTCCTTCACACCTACTCTTCGTCCTGCTTCGGCCGCCGTCACCCACAACGCCGTCGCCGCCACAATCGACACCTCTCTCTGACTGCCACTGCCGACCCTCACACAGCCCTTGACCCTTCTCTTTTCAAGTTCCTCCCGACCTTCACCTACTCCTCCGCCACTCACCTCCACCTTCAGGAATGTGCCGTCTGCTTGTCGGAGTTCGAAGAAGACGAGGACGGTCGCGTCCTCCCAAACTGCAATCACTGTTTCCATACCTATTGCGTTGATACATGGTTCCACTCTCACTCCAACTGCCCAATATGCCGAGCTCTGGTGCGGCCTCTAAGAATCTCGCCGCGAAGAACAGAGGCGGATATTTCCGATGGAGAGTTCGCGGGTTGCTCGCATCTTCCTCCGCCGATTTCGTGCCCGAGGAAGGAATTGGATTTAGATACGCTAAGCGTGATCGTGGAGGCGAGGAAGAAGGAGTTGGGTGAGAATAAGAGGACCTCGGAGTCGGGTTCACCCGGAGACGCCCGATTGAAGAGTTCCGAATCCGATGACGGACTATGGAAGGGCACTTGGAGGTAGCAGGTAAAGGAAAGCCGGTGACAATGTGGGAGTGGGGGCCCGGCCCGGCCCACCCAGGCCAGCGACGAAAGTGGCCTTTTCCTTGTTGACATAAACTGATACTATTTTTATTCACTTTGCTTTGACGCTTTATACTCGAAAGGAGTCTGTCGGTCTATTTTGTCCTAAAGATAATTACGACGCAGGCCAAAATCTGTCTTATCTCTGTGAATAATCATTTTGATATATAAATATATATGTGTGTGTAAAATATTTTGTGGGTTGTAATGACCGACTAACCTTGAGTCTGTGGTCTAAGAATATTATTAGGTGTAAAAGCGTGACACTTGTTGTAATATTATTTGGATGGTATATATTATGTTGGTTTGAAGGTGGATATGTGTTCTCTATATCTTTGGCTCTGAAATCTGCATATTTCGAAATTGCCGTTGTCTTACTTCTAGGACAAAAATGAGAATGCCGTCGTCCTTGTTGGTTACCCCCAAGCGGTGGCAGATACTGTTATTGCTGTGAATAACTGCCGTTGTTGCTTCTGCAGATACCGCTGTGCTTAATTTATGGCTGTCGCGTAGTAGAAATTGACTGCGCTTCTTACTTTCAGTTTTGAGGACACTGTTTGATTGACGCCCATTCCTCACTACTTCCCCCTTGTTCTCAGATCCCTGTCTAAATAAATCCAAATCCTCTCCTTTCCCGCTTTGTCTTTTAATTTTAACCACATTCTTTAATCATTATCTTCCTTCCTTGATCTTTATTCCTCTCGTTAGTCCCATAGTAAATGTTTAAAACTAAAAATTTACCAGCATAAAGTCGGCGATAAATATTAATTATAGAGAGTGCCATCTTTTTCTTTTTTCCAACGGCCAAAGTTTAAGATGTCATCAATTTGTTTTTCTATTTTCGCCAAAGCCATCAATTTGTTTAAACTAAATCATTTTCTTGCTTTGAATAACACAAGCCCAAGGAAAAAAAATAAAACAAAACACACAAAACCAATCTCCTCCCCTGGAAGGGGGCCTAAGCCATACTGTAGATGATAACCTGACGGTCCAGAAAGCAGTTCGCTCCACAAAAAAAGAAAAGGGAATAATAATAACTCATGGTCTTCCTTTGTTCTCGTTTGGGGTGGGCCTCAAGCTGTCAAATGCAGCTTTTTTGGGGCCTCATAAGTTTATACGACATATCTCGATATTGTTTACCCAAAAAAAAAAAAAACAACAGCATCGAACCCATATGGGGCCTGGTCCTATTATTATTATTATTTATGTTGGTCCTTGTTAAGGGTGCTCATAATTACAAAAATGACACTCCCAGAAAGCAAGGGAGAGACCTCAAGTACAGATAATCGGGAAGAAAAACCCCATGCATAGGATACGATAATATGTTGAACAGAAGAAACTAAAAACAGAAAAAATCAAAATTACGATTACGAGTCACTGCAACACGCGTATAACACGAGTAATTTCAGTTTTGATTAAACAAAATAGATAACTACTAATCTAAATTAAGAGTGGCCAAAAAGAGAATTACCAAATTTAGAGGAGCAGTAACAATACTATTAGAAGAGGAGCATCTCAACGTATAACCATTCTCTCATTGAGGGGCCATCCATTACCATTCAATCATAGCAGTTTGTGATATACACAGATTTGAAGCACCGAAAAGCAGCTTCGCTTCAGAAACCCAACCGGTCAAAAATGAGAAGCAACCCAGAGCTGTCACTGCTGGCATTAATGGCCGTGTGCGTCCTGATTCTGACGTCACGCCAAATTGAAGCGCAAGAAGAAGAATTGAGAGGGGAGGCACTGATCAACAAGGTATGCGAGAAAACGCCATCGAAGGATGTTTGCGCAGAAACACTAAAGAAAGACCCGAGAAGCCAGACGGGAGGGCTAAAAGAGATGGCGTTGATATCAGTTCAGGCCGCCAAGGACAACGCAACAGATATAATAAGTCACCTGAAGGTGCTGGTGGTCGATGACAGTCTGTCGCCGGATGTCCAACAGGGCATGTCGGATTGCTTGGATGTACTGGGAGACGCACAAGAGCAGCTTAACACAGCGACGGCGGCCATGCTGGTGAAGATCGGAGAGGACGCCGAAAAATGGCTGCAGGCGGCGGTGGACGCGGTGTCTACCTGTGAGGGTTACCTCCACGGAGATGATCATCTCCTGTTGCACAAGGAGGACAACTTCCGTCTCATGTGCAACATTTCCTTGTCCATCTGCAAGGCCTTGGACAACAACCAAGTTTAGAACCGGCCGGCAAGCTTTTATTTCATTTCACTTCATGTTATTCTTCTTTCGAGCCTAAATATAATATACCTTGCCTTGTTATTATAACATTTTATAACCCGGTTACAACTTGCTCCCTCCCCTTTGGGGACGTCTAAGAAACTGCCATGTGTGTGGGTGTATCAGATTAAAACCTCGAATTGATTCTGTCCCTTCCACTTGAAGGTTGAAATGTGGGTATACATTAGTATAAAACTGCCATGTGATGGCTATATATTACAGCCTCGAATTGATTCCTCATTTCTTCATCCACAACACTATTCTCTCAAACACACACTCAAGAAGAAAATACAAAACTCAGCGACGAAAAGAATCAAGAGAGCCCCTGTTTTGAAAAGCGTGGTTTTGCGTAGCATGCTGCCTCATTACCACTTAGGATATCATCAAAAACTAAAGTTTCCGGCCAGCGTTAGAATCCGATTCTTTCAGTACAGATTACAAGTTTTAAAATGGAGCACGTGGGGTAATACTTATAGCAGCTTCGAGCATCAAAACATACATAAACAATAAATATATGAAAGCAAATTAGAATGCGAAGGGGAAATGGAGAGATGGCCTTGGATTTTACGTGTCTAATTTAATTGTCTGCTTAAATCCAAAGCATTAAATAGGAATCAATTTCATGAAAGGGCATGTGTTTATGTATGGTCGTCGCTTGAGTCAGAAGCAAATTCAGTTTAAATCCCGCTGCCTTGTCAAAAGCAGGGTGTTTTGTATGTAAATGATTGTTGTCGGTGTCACGTGCAAAAACCATTTCTGAATTAGCTGTCCGTGAATGAGTTAAAATTAAAAATGCGTAGATGATAATAACTTGAGGGCTACGCCAAATTACTGCGACGTATGTATGTTCTCTCGTGCGAGGCCCTCACACACACGCACACTTCCAGTCAACTAGTCTTGTTTATTTATTCCTCCATCCCCCTCATCATCATAAATGTGTTTTCTCAGAAAAAAACTTACATCACTTTCATTTCCGTCTCTCTCAGATTCGTCGTACGATTTGCGATTTTAAAAGCAATGAAACTAAAGGCCACAAAATTAAAGTTCCCTTTGTTCCATCCATAAGATATGCACAGTGCATGAAACGACGCGGAAGCTACTACAGAAAAGAGCAAATAGAGTAATATACGGATGATCGGAAGAAAAAAAAAAAGGCGAAAGAAACAACTTAACAAAGTCAAAATCAACACACACATATATATATAATTTTGTATTAGTACACACCAAATTAATTGAATTTCAATTAAGCAATGGCATCCAATTAATTAGTAACAATCTTTGAAACTGAGCATAATTAATTTGTGGGGTTGATTAGGGTGTTACGCATCACTAATTGATGATGATAACGCCTCTGTTTTTGGTATGACCCCTTTATTGTATAAAAAAATGGGTAGTAATAAATTAATTAGAATATACTATGATATATCTATATCAAGGTGCTGGTGTAAGTGACACCCGTGTGAGGCAGCCAGTCATCTCCGAGCAAGAAGTTGGACACCGTGAAATTAGCAGCGTCGGTGGCGTTAATAACATGGTAGCCCGGCCACGTCACTCTGTCGGTGGTGCTCGACCCAGGCCCGCTGTTCTTGAACTCCGCATAATACAGAGTGCTTAAAGCGAAATTTCCGTCCCATTTCTGCCAACCCGCGCTCGCTACCACACCATCCATAAAGCTCTCCATATAAACCGTCCTCGAATACTCCTTCCATGGCCTCCCGAGGTACGTGCTCACCGAACCATTGGCCGCAGCCAAATCGTCGGTTGCTCTGATGCTGCAGTCATGGATCGAAATGCCCGTGTTTTGATTCGGGTCGGTTCGCCCCTGTGCCGTGATGGCGTTGAATTGCCCGCTCATGGGTAAACGAGGATGCAGATTGCACTTCTGGAGTACCACGGCGGCGTTCCCGAATATGAAATCTACCGTGCCGTACACATCGCATTCTCTGTAGAACTGTCTCAGAGAATGCGCATATAACGTGTCCTGGTAACCCTCAAAGCTGCAACTGTAAAACGTCGATAAATCTGCTCCATTTCGAACTGCAACGGCCTGGTGTTTTTCCGGCCCCGCCGTGTTACGAATCGTCATATTCACCCCGACGAATCCTTGTCCTACCACAGCTGCATAAATATGCACCATTCACAATGTAAGCGATAATTGGCCATTTGAAAGGAAAAAAAAAATGTATTAAATTGGGATTCCGTAGGGGGACATGACATTCTTCAGTTACTTACCAAAAGTTGCGGAGTTGAAGGTGGTCCACCCATCAACGACACTTCGGTTGCCGGTAATAATTGTCTTGTTGATACCGTCTCCCACCATCATCAAGTATGTCTTCTTTTTATCGATACTCACATATTCTTCGTAAACACCTGCGCTGACGTAGATGAGAAAGTAGCCGCTGGCAGAGGAGGACTTGTTTGGAGCGGCGGCAATGGCGTCATTGATGGTGGTGAAGTTTCCAGTTCCGTCTTGTCTCACCGTGACGATGTCCTTCACAACAACCACGTCACCGCCCACGGTGGCTGTCTGAAGCAGTTTTCTGTGACTCACGGAGTGGTAGATGGCAAGAGTCCTGCTTGACATTTTAAGCGGCAAACGCCCATTTCCGAAGGCAAGTTGCTTCTTGGTTGGCTGAAATGCAGTCGTTTTGTTCTTGGCTTCGGGAACCCAGCCTCTTGTGAACAGAGCCAGGGACACACTGTACAGCTTGGTATCGTTAGAAAGTGGGACGGAGAGTCCGTTCTTGACGCTCCAAGCCGAAGCTGTGTCTTTGAGGCCATCGAGGCAGGTCTGTTGGTTAGTTAAGATAGCGCTGAGAAGGGTTTGGATATCATCAGCCTGCAAACTCGGAAGAAACCTAGTCGTCTTGTTCACAGTTTGAAAGGAATTTGAAAGGAAGTCGTAGTTGAGCTCGCCCAGCGTCCGGCAATCTTCGAGTGCACGAATGGCGGCGGCGGATAAAGTGGATCGTCGTCTGAGATACTTATCGACTAGGCTCAAGAATTTACGAGACTGCGATAAGGATTTGCTGACGGAGAAACGGCCATAGTCGTAGACATTGCCTTTCTGGTGGGAGGGGAGGATGGACTTGCAGTAAGAAGGGTCGGGGGTGGAACTACATGCAGTTGCTGGGGTGACAGGAGTTGAAGGAGAAGTGTCTGCAAATGCTAAGGAGGTGAACAAGGGAAGGAGGAGAAGAAACGCCATTGTTGAGAGGGTACATAGCTTCGAAGCCATTGGTCTTTTGAATTGGAAGCTGAATGCTTCGTTGCGATGGAATTGTGAGTCCGCTAGCTGGGTTTTAACATCAATTTATAGGAGAAAGGGTGGACTTTTTGTACTACTTTTTTTCCGCTTAAAAAAATCAAGTTTCCAAATATAATATACTCCACTAACTTTTTAATATAATAACTAGTTTAATATTGAATTTGGTTTTAAATATAAGATATCAATTCATTTTATCTTCTATATTTATTTATTTATTTTTAAGATAGTCCTCGTAGTAACTGTATATGATAAATGTCTTATCAAATAGTAATTTTAGTCGATACATATTATTAGCAATAATATTATAAAAAAATAACATATATTTATTATAAATAACTAACTTAACTAATTTTTTTTAAATTAGTTAATTAACTGTTATATTAATTACATGAGATACTGTGTGGTACTCCTTTAGTCCTTAATATAGGACCTAATTATGAAGTTAATTTTGATCTTAAATATAAGATCTATTTCTCATATTTAGCAATTTTTTAAAAATTAGTTTTATGGATACTCTCTTAACCATAATCAAGTAGCAGAGGGAGGGAGGAAGAAAACTAAGAAAGCTGATTATGATGTTTTAAGAAAAACATGTTATATTTTTTTATAATTAACTAACTTATTTAATTTTTTTTAATATAATTAAATTAGGTAAATAACTCTTCTATCAAGAGCAGGAGGAATATTTGTGAAGGTGGCGTTAAGTGAAGTCAACAATGCAGGCTTGTCTAATGCGCGTGGGTCTCCCATACACCGATGCCATGGCTGTTCACCATTTTAATTTGTCATGCAAAAAACAGCGCCCATTCTGCCATACAATGATTTCGATACGGAGTTTCCTTTTCCTTTGATTGTTTTTTTATAAATATTACAAAAAAGATATTACTCTTCCTGTCTTAAATATAATACTCTTGTAAATTATATTATAAAAAAAAATTTATATTTAAAATCGAAAGAGTATATATTATGATATATAATTGAGAAAAATCCACCTATTGAGAAGTGTTTTTTGTAACATCGGCCCTGTGCGAAGGCAAAAGGTTTCCATCGGAAAAGAAACGGGTATAACCTTTCATTCCTTGTTGAATAATGGGAATTCTTTTTCATATCTAGCTTGTTGTATTTAGAATTATACAAATTTTGTCATGTAAGAGAACCTTTTGCTATAGATTTACTATATATTTTATATCGATGATAAGTTGCATGCCGCTTGATATTGGACACTGAAACTTGAAACAGCGTGACTCATTATTCCACTAAGATTTATAGATTATTAATATTTAATGTCAAATATGGAGTTGGTGGGAATTAAAGTAATCGTACCCAATATTTGAAAACTTTTATTCCCGTATTGTGCGGAGTATGAATTATTATTATTATTTTTTCATTTTCACTGCTTAATGGGGATGGATTCCGGTATAAATAGTTAAGCCTAATCTAAAAATTGCAATAGTTTTCTAAATGACAAGTTTTTGTTAGTTTAATCTCTCAGATCTGCCTTTTAGTGATTTGGACATTATATACGAGATAATTAGTTTAAACTATTAAAACGAAAATCTGGTAGTTACGCCCATTAATTTCCGTTAGCTTCACATTGTAATTAAGTAAAGGACACCAACCAATTAGCCTTATTGATAATTACTGTCCGTGTTTTGTAAATTTTGCTTCACTAACACATGCAGGTGCATATGATATCGTACGTGGGTTGGGGCCGCTGCTTTTCCCACCCTCAAAGTCAAACAATCATAAAGCAATAATCAATTTCACGATTTGATTAATATTAGCACTTCGCGTATATATATAATTTTGTCAACCGAACAGATTAAAGGAGGAGGGGGGAACGAAAAGTAAAAGGGGAAGCAGAATCACGATTGAAAAGAAAATTGATGTTTGGTAAGATAGTGCCAGCCTTTTGGTAGCAAGGCATTTGGATTTTGGAATTATATATGGACGCCGTCAATATACCTAAACATCACTGAGACCCGTATTCGACCCCGGAGCCTAATATAGTCTAAACACAACTACTAAGATTAGGCAAGTTTGAACTATGTGTATATGAACCAAGGTTTGAAGGTTTGACGAACACACTTTATAATAATGGTTAAATATTTGTCGCTTAGATTATAGATGTGTGTATGTATGAGAACTGGTAATTAATTAATGGAAGCCGAAGATGAGTTTTAAATATTAGAATTAGCCGTTGTCGAATTGAAACACAGTACGTAAGGCAGAAAAATGTATACTTGGCCTATTTACTTGATTAAAGGGCACCAAAAGGAAAACGTCTACCTTACTCTCGACTTGATCATTCTCTTTTAATATATGTAGGTAAAATAGCAAACGCGTAAACTGTTTGTGATTCCATATATAATTTGACAAAGAAGGGGCCCACCGATTCTGAGATTGTAGAATTTCAGCAAGTGCCAAAATCTGCAAGCTGGCTGGCTCCAAAATAATAGACGGAAAAGAGAAAAGACTCCCCCTAGATAGACCCTTTGTGCAACGCGGAAACTCATTGACTGCTGAATGGGGGCAGTTAAAGGTTAGGCCAAAGTACAGTAATATCAATCCATTTGGCTGATGTTGATAGATTATGAGTTTATTTATTAGAGTCTCCCAATTTGGGAACTTGGCCTTCGATTGGGACAGAGAGGCGTGCACCCTGGTTTACGAACCACGGTCTTCACCTTTAATTCAGGCAAGCTCTCAAATCTGCCTATGACCTCAAGTGCGGTGATAAATTCATGAACTTCTTTAGCTCCTTTCACACAGAAATTTTGAATTTTCGCAGTTCATATATTTGCGCGCAACAACGAACTTTCGTGCAAGGGACGGCAGGATTTTAAAACAATAAATATTAATACGTATACAAATTGAAACTGATGTACGTATATTGACAATTGGAGCTCGTACAAATGGCTTAAATACATGGTATTATTATTCTACGTATTATTAGATTATTGTTGTTATATAAGGGAGACAGCTCTTTCATTGAGATGTCAACAGCGCTGTTATTAAAAAGAACAGCAAATTAAAACAAATCCCTCCAGACGACTGCATTGGTCGATACTTCTTAAGTCTAGAGATGCCGAACTCTGATCAAGGAGTAGTGTGTTTTGAACTGCCCTCTAAGGACCTCTCTGACCAAAATCATGCTGACCCTCCCCTCCACTTTTGTAATATTCGTTTCATAATGCTATTCCTTCCTTAATTGCCAGGCCAGCTGAATAGTTTCTGCCCTTATTCTTTTAAGTTCAAATGTTCAAGTGATATATAATTAAAAATAATGGCACGAAATAGTATAGTATAGACATGAAATTTATTTTTACTTTCCATGCTTAATTATTCTTTTCATTTTCTAAAATATAGTATGCACAATTACTTTGGAGTCATAAAAAGATATTATTCATTCTCAGTTTGCTAATTAAGTACTACCATTTTGGAGAACTTACATAGCTACTTTGATGTTTTCCAACCCGCTATATAATATTAATTTTACCAACAGGTCAACGGCGAATTTCACGCACATCCAAAAATAGAATCTTTTATTCCGCCATATCTCAGACAAGTTTGTTACCTGCTCACCCCTTCCATTTGAAAATCATCAATGTTTTAGACTTTTTATTTCGTTTCAAAATTTTGCAGGTCTATAAATCTTGGTCAAATTCCTTTCTCTTTCAGTGAAATATACTCTTATTTAATAAACGCGCGTATAATTATTTTAGAAAAAGTACCTCAACTAACTGCAGCTATATCTTTATTTTCATCATCTATTATTTTCACATATCATTTTTCGCCTATAAAAGGGAGATTAAACGATGGTATTTTAGCCGAGGCATAACGATAATTTACATTAATTGAATTGAAAACAACCGAATTGAAATGGGACCTTGATTTCTCTAAATGTACACATGTTAAGCTTTTGCTCACTCTCCGGATGATTCGTGGAAACAAACAGAATTGGACTGCGGAGACAAATGATCAGGATTCCTCTGCTGTTTCCCTCAAGTCCATCCAAGAAATGGGCCTGTTTCAGTTGCCCCTCTTTACATTCCATATAGAAACAAAGCTCAGGGCCCAATGAACACAATAGTCCAGTACTATTAATAGTTCTTTTGTCATGATGGGCGACACCACCAGATAATGAACAGATGTAATATGGCTTTGCTAGTTAATGCAAAGTAACAGACGAGACTGAAAATTGGTAAATAGAAGAACGGGCTCGCATGAATTGAAACCCTACGAGACGTCTAAATCAAACCAGTGAAGAAGGGGACGCCCGTCCGAGCCAGCCAAGCATCCGCCTGCAGGAAGTTATCCGCCGTGAAATTAGCGGCATCCGTAGCATTAATCAGATGATAACCAGGCCACGTCACTCTGTTCCCAGTGTCCGAACCGGGCCCTCTGTTGTCGTGTTCTGCGTAGTACAGCGTATCCAAAGCAAAATCTCCATCCCATTCCCGCCAGCCCGCAGCCTCTATCAAACTGTCCATGAAACTCTGCATATAAACCGTCCTCGAGTACTGCTTCCATGGCCTCCCCAGGTAAGTCCTCACGGCCGTCGCGTTCTGGAGAGCATCCATGAGATCGTCCGCAGCCTTTATAGTGGCGTTTTGTATGGAGATGCCTGTGTTCTGGTTTGGGTCAACTCGACCTTGCGCTGTGATAGCATTGAATTGTCCCGTCATGGGCAACCGTGGATATATGTTGCAGTTTTGTAATACGACGGCCGCGTTCCCGAATATGAAGTCGACCGTTCCATATATGTCACATTCTCTATAAAATTGTCGCATAGAATGCGTATACAGGGTGTCTTGGTAACCCTCGAAACTGCAGCTGTAGAAGACAGACAAGTCTGCCCCACTTCTTAATGCAACTGCTTGCCTTTTGATCGGCCCTGCCGTGTTTCTGATTGTTATGTTCACTGCTACGAATCCTTGTCCTACCACAACTGCAAAAATCCAATTGTGGCTTGCTTATCAGGCCTTACTCGTTCATCAAATGTCTTTACAAAATACGCAGTCAAGCAGAACATCTATTATATGTATTATATATTTGTTGTCTTACCAAATGTTGCTGAGTTGAATGTTGTCCACCCATCCGCAACACTGCGATTGCCGGTGATCACTGTGCGATTGATTCCATCTCCCAGAATCATCAAGTTCCGTTTGTTTTTGTCTATGTTTACGTATTCTTGGTACACGCCCTCCGTGATATAAACCAAGAAATAGCCTTGGCCAGCGGCTGTTTTATTGGGGGCGGCCGCTATGGCGTCGTTAATGGTGGTGTAGTTTCCGCTTCCGTCCTGACTAACGACCGCGATGTCCCTTATGACGACGCTTGTGATGTCAGTCAGAGTCTGGAGCAATTTCCTCCCGTGTCTTCTGGCATGCTCATATACGTCACGTGCAGGCTTTCTCATCTCCAAAGGCAAACGTCCATTCCGGAAACCTAAATTTCTTCCATTACCGTGCGATGACGGTCTGTTCTTCTTTTTAGGGACCCAGCCCTTCACGAACAGAGCAAGAGAGACACTGTGAAGGTTAGTGTCGTTCAAGAGTGGGACGGAAAGATCGTCCTTCACTTTTGGATCTGAAGCCGTCGTCTGAAGGCCATCCAAACAAGTCTGTTGGTTTGTGAGAACGGCACTGAGCATAGTTTGAATATCGTCGGCTTGAGAATAGGGAAGAACATAGCTGGATCGATTGACGGTGGGGTAGGAAGTCGACAAGAATTCATAGGTTAGTTGAGAGAGGGATTGACAATCTTCAAGAGCTCGAATTGTAGACTGAGACAAATAGGAGGGAGACAGAAGATAGGAGTCGACTAAGTTGAGGAACTTGTGGCTGTGAGATAAGGATTTCCTAAAAGAGATACGTCCATAGTCATAGACGTTGTTGCCGTGGTGATGAGCAATAACATGTTTGCAATAAGAAGGGTGTTGTGTGTTGTGGCAGACGGTTTCTGGAGGAACGTGAGCTCTTCCATGCTGACGATGGCGCACTGCCACAGAAAACGACACAAACGAGGTAAGGAATATGTAAAACGATGTGAGAGCCAGGAAGGGCAAGAGCTTGAAAGCCATATTATTGTTGGGCTCTGAATAAAAGGAAGATAGATATTGATCGAGGTGTGTAATATATGGGGATGTGAGTTGCTTATTATATAGCGCGGCCGGGCCTCTTGATTTGTGTAATGTTGAGAAATGAGTTTCCGAGTAATTTGTATTTGAAGCAAGTCATAGGGAAAGTAGTCAGCTTAGTTATTTTGTCTTAGGAATGAAGGGATTCCATACAGCAGGGCGCGTCCACATGTCAAAGCTGATTGGTCGCCATCATCCCACACACAGCCATTATGTTAGCATTTATCTGATTTTGTAGTTTCATCAGGAGAAACAAACGTACGCACAAGTCACAGTGCGTTCATGTATCCAAATATCCGTGGGGATAAGATCCGATCCTTGTGTTGGTTTTTAAGATTGTTAGGAGCCAGCTGCTGGGTGATGGATTGCATTACCAGCAGCAAATATACAGAACAGTGCAGAAAATAAATGAGATCAGTTAGGGCGGCCTTGTTGAGATGATGATATATACGCGAATGAATGTTTTCATATTGGAGACGAGAGACTGACACGTGGACAGGCAAAGTTAGGTATCGTCTTTCCTTGGTTGTGTTGAAAAGGTAGGAGCGCGCATCTTTCAGCCTTGTTTGTTGGAGGCGTCATGTTATTGTTAATAAACGAGCATGTGGAACAGTTTTAAAGCCAGCCGTCTATAACTCCACTCTAAAGGCTTCCAGGGTCAACGTATTTCTTGCATTTATGTATTTTTTCATCAACGACCACGAATTTATTTCCTAATATAACACATTAGGGATTAATTTCATCGTCTGTATACCCAGGGGAGGAAGAGGAATGATGATTTTTTTTTTTTGGTTTGTCTCATGACACTACAACAGGCAAGAAAACTAATTGCTAATGGGTATTTTTAAATAATTAGACTTGTTGGGGGGGGGGACACCGAATAAGTTACAAATTTCTAAATTTGACTTCAGATACTGTATGTGTTCCGGGCATGACTGTTGAACTTCAAGTCACCTGTACGGTTCGATTGAATATACATTATATCAATATTCGGTCCGATTCAAGACTTTTTTAAAAAACAAAAACCCAAGGAATAAAGTGATTTTTTTAACAAATTTAGAATTACTATACTTAATAATTTTCTTAAAGCTGTCTTCCACAAAAAGTATGGAGTAGAATTCCAGCCATATTCCATTCGCCACGCCTTTTTAATCAAAGAAGGCCTTTATTTGAAACCTTACTCAATCATGATTTACAATGATATGAGCTGCAATTAATGCTAAGGATTTTTAAATTTTCTAACGTAATTATATAAATTTATAAAGTAAACAATACGAAAATGTGATGTCATGTGCATCAAAAACCAATTATTGACTTCGGTAAAAAAAAACAATTATTGAGATAATAATTTATTCAAAGTACTATATATATTCATATAATTTAAATAAATGAAAGGCACTTAATTTACATGATATTTCGGGCGGAATGAAATTACTCAAATTAGCGTTACGCAGAATAACACATCAAAAATAAAAATCAATTATATCCAAGTCGGATCATTTTGTGGCCTTTTCCCTTGGACAGGTTGGGCCCATGATATTCCGGTCTGGTCAGTTCTGGAGCTAATGGCCAGCTTCCTCAGTTTCATCTTCATCTGCTGTTTACGTTGTCCTTCCGGTCCCATCCCTACAAAAATAACATGTTCCTCACTCATTGACGCGTGAAGCCCAAGGCCATGCACGACCCTAATTTTCAGTTGTGCTCGTTAGTGTTCCAATGTGCATGGCCCTTTTTGAAAACATATGTTGCCTGAAGGGGCTTCCCCACCAATCCCATACCAGTTTCATGAAGCTTGCGGGCCGCAGGGGAGTTAATACTGTCCTCTGTTGGTGTTTCCTTCCTCTTTTAACTTCATGTCATCTTCGGCTTTCAAATCTCTCGATTCTCCTCTGCCTCCTGTTGTTTCTTCTTGTTATTTGACTTTTACGTCATCTTCATCCTTAGTGCGGAAAACCCAATAATTTAAAACGAAAATACAAATACTAGTAGGGCTTTACGCTGGCAACAGGATATATAAGTTATACTTCACGATCAATTTTCTTTGTCCAACTCCTCTGCGTTATTAGTTTTCTTCTTGTATTTTCGTTGCACAGACGATGTGAATATCATGACAGGTGAAACCAGACATATCAAAAGACGATATCATATCATGCATTCAGATAATTAACTAGCAATCGCTAGCGAGGCAGATCCAATTGAGGGGTGAGCACCATGAAATGAGGCGCACTTTATCTTTGCTTATGCTGGTTATTTCTCCGAAGACTAAGAAAAAAAACTGGAAACAACAGAAATAGCATATGGAATTTTTTAGTTTGCCGTGAAGAGCCCATCCAGATAGGGAACTCCAGTCCGAGGCAACCAATCATCCGCCTGCAGAAAGTTAGAAGCTGCGAAGTTAGCTGCATCCGTAGCATTAATCACATGGTAACCCGGCCAGGTCACCCTATCACTAGTATTAGCTCCAGGTCCCTTGTTCCCAAACTCAGCGTAATACAAAGTGTCAAGTGCGAAGTCCCCACTCCATGCAGACCACCCTGCAGGATCAATCAGACCATCCAAGAACGACTGCATCACAACTGTCTCGAATACTGCTGCCATGGCCTTCCAAGATAAGTCTTTACGCTTCCACCACTCGCGGCTAAGTCATCGGCAGCTTTAATGGTGCAGTTATGGATGGAAATGCCTGTGTTCTGATTTGGGTCTGTTCGTCCCTGAGCAGTGATGGGATTAAACTGTCCCTGTAATGGAAGGCGAGCATAGATGTTGCAGTTCTGCAGAACAACTGCTGCGTTTCCAAGTATGAAATCTATTGTGCCGTAGATGTCGCATTCTCTGTAAAACTGCCTCAGTGAATGTGGATACAGAGTGTCCTGGTACCCTTCAAAGCTGCACCTGTAGAACGTGGATTGGTCTGCCCCACTTCTCATTGCTACTGCTTGAAACTTGCTTGGCCCTGCTGTGTTTCTGAATGTCATTCTTGCTGCTACAAACCCCGTTGCTACCACAGCTGCAATTCAACGCATAATCAGATTTTCAGCTTCTAAATATCATTTCATCATCCTTGTGTTTTCATCTTTCAAATATTTGGTGAGAAAGCCTTTTTTCGCAAATTAATGCGCAAGAGAGCTTTTTCCTTACCAAATGTTGGCGAATTGAATGTTGTCCAGCCATCGCCGACGCTGTGGTTGCCCGTGATAATTGTGCGATTGATTCCATCTCCGATCATCATGAGATACGGCTTGTTGATGGGGATGGACACGTATTCTTCATACACGCCCTCTGTGACATAAATCAAGAAATACCCATCACTTACATTGTTGTTAATCGGAGCTGCAGCGACGGCATCGTTGATGGTGGAGAAATTTCCACTCCCGTCTTGACTCACAATTACTATGTCACTAATCAGAACACTCTCTTCGTCATTTCATCGTCTTCATGCTCCTTTCTGCCTCTGATTGAGTCATAGATGGCTCTCGTTCTATTTGACATCTTCAAAGGTAAACGACCATTTCGAAAACCTGCATGCCACCCTTTGGAATTCCAGATTGGCTTGCTCTTTTCCTCATGTACCCACCCCTTTGTAAACAGAGCCAGAGACAGACTGTGGAGCTTAGTGTCATCAGAGAGGTGGCCTAAAAGCCCATTCTCAGTGCTCATATCGGAAGTCGTGCTGATTATTCCGCCCAAACAAGTCTGGTGGTTCGTTAAAATGGCACTGAGCCAGGAATGGGCATCATCAGCTTGGGGCTTGAGAGAGTTTCAGGAGCCTTCATGACAATCTCATTGGACTTGGATAAGTATTCCACGTTAAGTTCGGAGAGAAATATACAGTCTTGAATTGCACGAATTGTGCCCTGGGATAAAGTGGTGGAGTGGTTAAGAAGATAGGACTTGGCAAAGTTCGAAAAGTGACGGGTTTGAAATAGCGATTTTTGGATGGAGAACCTGCCAAAGTCGTGCATTTGAGCGTGTTTCCATGGAAGCACGGCTCTGCAATAAGATGGGTCTGGGGTGGCGTTGCATATGGCATCTGACGGAACAGGGTGGTTATGAATTCATCTGCAGTAGCAAGGAATGCGAAGAGGGGAAGAAGGAAAGTTGACAATGTGGCTTTGAACAAGACATTCGAAGCCATTATGATGGTGTTAAATGGAAATATGACCGCGAGAATTTGCTGGATTTTCAGGTCCATTTATAGGGAAAGGCTGGAGATTACTTGTGATCAGCTCTTGTTAAGCTGATTCAGTGCTAGATGATGCGTGATTAAAGAAGATTAACTAGCTAGCTAGGACCTAGGCGAAGTGCAGTGTAATCTATGAACAATTTAATATTATCATTTGTTTTATAATTACCTATTTAAATACTTAAAGCATTAAAACACTCCGTCAAACTCCGTCCGTGAGTATTGCATGGAAGTCAACTTGAGATTAGCAGACTGGCTTCCATCAAGAGGCTGTGTAGATAAAAGATATCACGTTACACATAAAAAAATTCTGGAATTCTGAAAATGTGTTTCAATCGTGCTGGGAATATATAGGCTGAGCTGGTATGGTTATTTTGTCAACGTTGTGTGTTGTTGGTGGGAAGTCACCCCACGATTTCCTTCTATAAGAATGCAGCTGAGATATTACAGAAAATTATCTAATAAATATTACCTTTGGGTTTTAATATAAAACTAATGAATAATTTGGAAAGATTAAAAAAA